GGGGAAAGGGAATTGTCCCAGAGTGGATTGACTTCCCATAATCTTCAAGGGTGAGAGTCTTTTGATATTGTTTTCTTGTAACGAAACATTACGGCGTGACTTAAGAGAATTTTAGTATTTCTCTCAGATGTTGGCTAGGTCAATTGACAGCGTTAATTTCTTGTTTGTTTCTATGTATTTCTTAAAGCCCGTCCAGTTTGTCTTCTTGGATGAGTTGTTTAAACGTTGTGATAGACAGTCCATTTGGATTATTTCAAATGACTTTAAGATCCAATCTTCTGTTGCGGGTATTTCTTTTTTTTCCCATAGTTTGGCTAGCGTTATTCTAGCTGCCGTGCTTAGTAGAAAAAATAATTTGTCCTGGTTGGCATTAAATTTGGGAAAGGAGATACCTAAAAGATACAATTCTGGGAGTTGTGGGAAATTGATATTTAGTATTTTTTGTATAGCTAAGTGTATTCCTCTCCAGTATTTCCTAACCTTTTTGCACGCCCACCATTGGTGGAAGTATGTTCCTGTCTCTTTTTGGCACTTCCAACATTTATTTGAAAAGTTTTTACTGAATTTAGAGATTTTCACTGGTGAGTAGTGCCATCTGAAAAACATCTTATGCCAATTTTCTTTAAGATCGCTTGCTACTGTGTATTTTAATTTGGAGTTCCATATTTCCTCCCATTGTCTTGTTAAAATGTTATGGCCTATATCTTTGGCCCATTTTACTTGACAATCCTTAATTTGTTCGTCTTCCGTTTCCCAGCCTAGCAGTTGTTTATATGCTATTTTAATTAGTTTTTTTCTTTTTGCAATATTGTTTCCCAAAATCCTTGTTTCCGACAGAACCCTATCTTTTCATCTTTTTTAAAGTGTTGGAATAGTTGGTGGTGTTGTAACCATGTGAATTTGGGGTTCAAATGTTTTATTTCCTCTATAGATTTTAAGTATAATTTTTGATCCTCGCCGACTTTCAGAATTTGGTTATAGGTTAGCCATTTTTCACCGCCTATCTCTCTCTTGTGTAGCGCTTCGATTGGTGAGATCCACATGGGGGTTTTATTGTAGAGTCGTGGTTTATATTTCTCCCATGTTTTAATTAGGGCAGCCCTTATGTAGTGGTTGTTGAAAGATTTTTCTATTTTTCTTTTGTCGAACCAAATATATCCATGCCATCCTAATCTGAGGTCTGAACCTTCTAATGCTAGTAATTTGGGGTTTTGGAGGGTGCACCATTCTTTGATGGCAACTAAATTACACGCCTCATAGTACAATTTTAAATTTGGTAGTCCTAAACCACCTCTTTTTTTTCATCTGTGAGAATTTTATGGCTGATTCTTGCTTTTTTGTTTTTCCAAATGAATTTGATGATGTCTGACTTCCATTTTTTGAAGAGGAAGTCATTCCTAATAATCGGTAACGATTGAAAAAGGAATAAGATTTTGGGAAGAATATTCATTTTTATGGTGGCAATTCTACCTAGTATGGAGATATTTTGGTGTTTCCATTTTTCCAAATCTGCTTTGATGTTTTTCCATAGGGCTTCATAGTTGTTCTTTATTAAATTGATATTACTTGGCGTTATAGTGACACCTAAATATTTTATTTTATTTTCGATTTTTATTCCAGATTTGTCTTGTAATAGGTCTTTAGATTTTTTATCCATGTTTTTGACTAACATTTTGGTTTTGTGCATATTCAATTTGAATCCGGCCAGATTTCCAAAGGTTTCAATTTTCCTTATCCAATTGTTTATACTTACCAGAGGGTCCTCTACGATGCAAACCACGTCGTCGGCATAAACTCTAAGTTTGAATTGGTGTTTCTTGATTCTTATTCCCTGTAGCTTTGGATCTTCATTTATGTTTTTAATCAGTGTATCCATAATTAGTATAAACAACAGTGGCTAGAGTGGGCACCCTTGACGTGTGCCTTGGCAAATTTGGATAGGAATGTTTGATTCTTGCCCGTTTATAATGAGAGTGGCTTCTTGCCTTGTATATATTGCCTCTATTGCGTTGTAAAAATTGTAACCAATGTCAATTTCTTTTAGTAAGAATTTTAGATAATCCCAATTAATTTTATCGAACGCCTTTTCGGCGTCAATAAATAAAAGGGCGAGCTGTTTCTCGTTATGTTTTTCATAGTACTCAGTGGTGTCTATGATTATGCGAGTGTTGTCCTTTATTTGTCTATTGGGCAAGAAACCTGTTTGGTCTTCAGATATCCAATTTTTAAGTAATTTTTTAAGTCTGTCTGCCATAATACTGGTGAAGATTTTGTAATCAGTATTTAGGAGGGAGATGGGTCGGAAATTTTTTATCTCCGTTGGGTCTGTGCCCTCTTTGTGGATCAACGTTATGTTGGCTTTTTCCCAAGATCTAGGGATTTTTTTTATCTTCTAAGACATTATTTAATATTTCTTGCAGCAGGGGACCCAATTCATCCTTGTATTTTTTGTAGAAGATGGCAGTGAAGCCGTCAGGGCCAGGAGCCTTATTGTTTTTTAATTTTTGGATTGCCGTATCGATTTCTGCCATTGTGATGGGTCCATTAATCATTTCTCTTTGTTGTTCAGAGAGTTTTGGCAGATTCGATCGGCTTAAATATTCCGTGATTTGTTCTTTGGGTACGTTGGATGTTTTATATAATTCTTTATAAAATTTGGTGAATTTATTTTGAATGTCATTGCCTTCTGTGTAGATTTTCCCTTCTGACTGAATTTTTGTGATCAGTTGTTTTTGTTTTTGGTCTTTGAGTTTCTTAGAGAGCCATTTGCCAATTTTGTTGGCGTTTTGGAAGTAGTTTAATTTTAAATATTTCATTTGGCTATCTAGTTTGTCGGTTTCTAATAGGTCTAATTGTTTCTTAAGTATCTCTAGATTTAATTTTGCTTT